AAAAAAACACAAACTTAATGGTATTATCATGGATATATGAAAACTATAAAGATTCTAATTATATTTATATTGAATATAACAACTGTAATTAATCTGATCTTTTAAAAATATTGGAGTCGATGGTATTCCTTCTATATCGCTGTTTTCAGACATTTTGATAATATAGGTAGGTAATATGAAAACTGATTTTGACAAATAAAGCAATTAGTTACTTAGGTTAGAATCTAGGACAAACAAAGGAACAGGATTCTTGATTGAAAAATTATGGGTTTCTATTGGTTGATAATCTGTATCGTTATGAAAAATCTGTATCATAATGGATATCATCATGAAACGGATTATGGTCATATAAGTGTATTGTTAGAGTACGGGTGTAGAAAAATTTATTTTATAACTTACTTCTGTCAGGCATACCGAGACGCACGCATGTTTTTTCAAACTTGGAATTACAACTGTCAATTCAGAAATTTGACATAAAACTGCATATTTTTGAGTTTTATCTTATAATCACTATTTTTATTTCAAGATTTAGAGGACAGACGAATTTGGACTTGAAATTTCATCTTGATACTTATATTCTCATTTTCATATCAGAATTACGTGTATCAAACTTGAAATAGTTTTTATTAAAAGTTTTAACATCAAATTCAAAATTTGAAACAGTAAATTTTCACATCACAGTTCAAAAGTTTTTGAAAATGATTTCCTAATGAAGAAACTAATAAATCAATCAAAAAGCTCATCAACTCTACAATATAAGTAACCTCCATTTGAAAATAATGTGTTAACTGAAAGGAGACATCAAAAATGTATATCCGAATACAAAAAAACAAGCAGTCATTCTCAAACCGAGAAAGAAATCAAAAACATCTCTATAGGATTTCAGTCTGGTATGAGAGTAAAATACTATGATCAGGGCCGTAGCGAAAAGAAAAACCAGAGGGGACGGAATCCAAATTTTCCCAACCCCACCAGCAAAATTTACCAACTTTCGAAAAAATGAAAGCCGAGGGAGTCGTTACTACTATAATGATTATGCCCGTTAGGGTATACACAAATAAAAATAAATTTTGGTAATTATAAAAATAATAATGGGAATTATTCTAGTTTAGATCAAGATCTTTGGTCTTCCACCATATCTACCATGTATAGGAATATTATGTACAAATGAAAAGGAACAGCATTTAAATAATATTGTGTTTATTGTTTTCTACTATTATTTTTTCTATCTTCACGGCCCGAAATTTCCCAACTTTTCCAAGTCGAAAAAACAGCGAAAAGTTGGGAATTTTGTAAAATTGTCACATTAAAATTTGTGGACTGTTCTCTTACTTGGGAGAAATTAAACTTTTTTGAAGTTTTCAAACAACTCTGAATTTCAAAGTAAGGGTCTCCCAAGTTATGCATGTTGGAAAATCCCAACCTTCTCCTGGTCCTTTCCCTTTTCTTATTACCTTATTCTCTCATTTATATTTTTTTAATTTTAATTTATTTATTTAGTATTATTTTTTTCTATCTTCACGTCCCAAAATTTCCCAACTTTTTCCCAAGTCGAAAAAGCAGGAGGGAAGCTTCTCCCCCATTCCCCCATGGCGACGGCCCTGACTATGATCATGAAATATCTGCCACGGAAGAAGCTCCAACAAAAAGATACATCTGAGTAACTTTTTGAGTAATATTTGGGATGGTGTATTGAAGAATTAAAGTGAATGAAGAGATGGCGCTGATGTTACAGGAATTGTGATTGTAACAAGTTTCAGTGTTTTCTGAAGACTCGGATGAAATTGACAAGTCAGATGACCCAAATAGCAAAAGAAAGAAGCATATTCCAATTATTTCATCATATATTATTTGAATTTTTTGGATGTTTTAACTATAGTTATTTAAAATTCAGGAATAATTGCGCTCTTTGAACTTTTTTATAGAACAGAGCACAAGCACTACAGGAACATCCTCAAGGCGCTCTAAGAGTGGTGCCTGTGCGAAAGTAGCGATTGAAACGAATATCAAGTAATTAGTCCAGTCAAGAGAAGGCATGCACATCGTCCAAACAAATGAGTTTCACTTCAAAAACATTTATAGTACTATTATTATGTACAAATAAAAAAGTGAAAACCAGAATGATCGATGAAATCCATTTTTGCAGCATAATTGCATTACATCTTTCTAAAGCTGGTAGAGCCTTGATACTTGATGAAAATCCGTTATTATGTCAAATTACACTTTATTATGAGATTATTCCTCAACAGTTTACAAAGACACGTCACGTGTTTCGCTTTATAATAATTTCTTTAGACCTGACAAATTTCTACCTAATAAATGTTTACCATTCTAGGAAATGTCAAAACACTATACCGTGTGATATTGGCAAATGATATACATACTTACATAAAATATATAAAACTCATTAAACTGGACATAGGTATAAAAAATTCAAAACTACCTGAGACCTCATATTTCCTTAATTGAAATCGCCCTAATTACTAATTTCATCATTACAAAACAATTTCAATAAAGCGGAATTATTCAAATCTATTTGGTCATTGATTCTGATTCTTGAATCTATTGATTTTTTACCTGTCCGTGAAATCTGAATTTTGAACCATTCTCTTCCAAATGCTGTATGTAGTAATCGTGACTGCAGTTGTTCCCCTCTGACAAAAGATGGTTTGCAATCGTTGAATAGGTGTTCTCATTCAAAAAACTTTGTCCATATTTTATTTACACATACATATCATCATAAAATAGCAGAAATCAATAGTATGCTTCACATATTACCTATCGAATATTCCATTCTCGCAATTCGTTTGACAAAGGGACACGAGTTCAATTATGAATAAATGAGGTCGGTAGTTTCGAATTTATTATACAGTTCATTCCTAGTATTGTTAAAATGTATTATGCAGTAAATTCAATAGGTTAAAATTTGACAGAGACTTAAAGTCATTAAGATTCAAATTATTAGATTATATAAAAGCATGATGGAAATTATTAGTTAGTACTTAATACCCCAGTAAAGTGTTATTTGAATACGATGTTCAAATGTTTTCTGGGACTACACTAATTCAATGAATCTGGAAGACGCTGAACATCTTAAACTTATCTTACACCTTGTTGAGTCAGTTCTTTGTGGATATGTACGATCAACACAAATTAAACATACAATAATTACTTTATTCAAGCTTCACAACAATGACACTGACGTTGACGAACATCGAATAAATGGTCCCATAAGTACATTGGAAAATACAAATAAAAATGCATAATAAATCAACAAATAATATGAATCACTTCCGGTATCACGCCTAACTCTTATTGAAATGGAACGGGGTGATCTTTTTGCTGGTGGCTCTAGATTGGAAGAAAGTGTTTATCGAGCTGATAGTGCGTTGCCCCAAAGTGTCTCTCTCCGTCCATTCCGAAGAGATCGATCCATGCCTGTTATTCATCCGTGGAACTGTGGGGCCGTCCCAGTGCTCCAGCAACTGCAGGAGAAGATCCTTGGTACCATTTGGGCTGGTGAGATTGTTGATCTTCGTCGAAAACTGGCTGCCGGACTGCTTGTGGATATTCCTGGCCGCGAGAGGCACATCTCTGGAACAGCTATTCATCTTGAACTTGGTGCGCCGCCAGGGAATCCCCGGAGCCTCGTCGTGCTTGTGCTTGACGCCCGTTATCGTTATGGGCACGCTCTTAGAAACCTCCCCATCGAAGGGGCACTGTGAGTTGGTGAGGCTTGTGTCGAAGTTGGAAAGCTGAAAGAGTTTATCGGACAGCTTCCTGATCTCCTCAGCTAGATTAATGCGTTCTGCAGTGTCCTGTGTCTTGACGACCCCCGCGCTGTCGGACGCTCGCCTGAAGTGCTCCACAGGGGGCGGCAGAAGTTCCGAAACGTTGGTGGTGAACGCGTTGTCCGACCCGGGAGAGGACGCCAGGGAGCCGCACGGAGACGGGGAGTCTCCCAGCAGGGACTGACTCGAGTCGGAAAGCGAGCGCCCTCCCGCGGGAATCATAGAGGGGGAGATGATGTGCGAGGTGATTTCGAAGACGTATGGGGAGTTGGGGTGGTCGTTCCACCGTTCGACGAACTGCTTGAGGTTGTCTTTGGTGACTTCCATGCTGGGCGTGCGAGGCACCTTCTGCTTCCTCCTGAGCCAGCAGTGGCTCAGGCACTGCTCTGCTGACAGTCTGCCGCTGCAAAGATTCAGACAAAGACCCTGTTAGTGGATTACAATGTAGATGCGGTAGCATGCAAACAAAACCCAAATTAGTCGGTCGTGAGATTCAGTTAGTGATGTGATGAGAAAACTGTTACTAATTTGGGTCTTTGTCTGGTGCCTAGTCGACGTATATAATGAAGTAGAAAACGAGAAATCTGTGGGTGGCGTTTCTGTGAGGAAACTGTTGTTCAGAGTAAGCCATTGAAAACATACTGCAAGATGTAAGTGCCAGAAAAATAACTTTTCAGGAATATTTAAATACAATACAAGTTTGTTTGTAACAGGGACAAATTTTGACACAGAGACCATTGAAATGTTTCTAACCCCCAAACAGGGTTGTTATAAAAAAATGAAAAATATATCAATTTTGAATAAGACCTATCATATTAAACATTCAAAATTCATTTATTGGTCTTCAGGTCAAGTTATTGGCAATAGAAAAGTCATATAATTAAGTATACTCAGATGAAGAAGTGATAATAATAATGATGAATGTTTGATGTGGTGAGGGTGTTCTTATTGAAGTTAACGTTATTGTCTACATTGTATTGTAACCATTTTGTTTTTGTACATTTTGAATTTCGAAGAATTCATTGAAATTATGAAAAGAACTGTCATTCAAGAATTCCTTCAATAGTTTCTTGAAATTGTTGAGTGGTGAATATAGCTTTCTTTACCTCAGTTGACAGTTTGTTGAAAATTTCTATTCAAGCATAATGCGGTGATTTTTTATAGATTCTGCTTCGATGCCTGGAAACCACTAGTTCATTTCTGGTTCTTGTTTGATAATCGTGGAACTCCCTTTTTTGTGTGAATTTTTCTTTGTTTTTGTAGACGTATATGTTACATTTTAGTATATATATCGATGTCAATGTGAGGATCTTTTGGCTTTTAAAAGCACGTCTGCATGCTTCTTGTGGCTTTATTCCAAATATGAGACGTATTAATTTTTTTTGTATTATAAACACTCTACTTCCACTGCCTGTCCCCATAGTATGATATTATAGCAGATATGTGGGTATATAAGGGCGTAGTAAGATGTTATTAGATGTGGTAGTTGTATGGTGTGCTTTAGTTTTAGTAGGGCGAAGAATGATCTGTTCGAAAATTTGCATATGTAGTCTAGTTGAGGTTCCCAAGAAACTTTGAAGTCTGAGTCTGAAGTTCCCAGAAACTTTGTCAACGGTGTGAAAATATCTATGTTTAGTTTGGGTTTGTTTTTGTGGAAATGTACCTAACACCATTTTTTCATATGTTCATATACCTCTGCAATTTTCATGATAGTCTCTTCTTCGTTTTTACCGGATATTGTTGCCGACGTATCGCCAGCAAATTTTATTGTGGTTCCTGGTAGATTTAGGTCGTTAATATATATAGTAAGAATATTAGTGGTGCCAATACGGATCCTTGTGCTGCTCCAATAATAATTTTATACTCTTCAGAGGTGTAGTTACTTATTCTGATCACAATTTTTCGTTTGGAGAGAAATCACCTTATTAGTGAAAGGGTTTGTCCCTTCATGCCGATATTGCACAGTTTATTTTCGATGAACTGAAGGTTCAATGTGTTGAATGCTCGGGACAAGTCAAAGAAAATGCCGACTACTGTATGTCCCTTTTCGATTTCTTTGTGTACAAATTCAAATGAAGCGGTTTCCGTTGATAGTCCTGATCGAAATCCATGTTGCCCTTCATCTATTATTTCTAATGTATATAGATCGGTTTGAAATAAAAAGAAATAGAAAGAAAATCCGGTACTTAAAAAAATATAGTGGTAGCAAGCTCAGTGAAAACAAATGGATGGTAAACCTAATACAAGAACCATCATACAAGTCCCAATCAAATTTTACATAAGTACAAGTTGGGTGAACTCACACTCGCTTTGAGGATTGGATGTACAATGGTTTTTGGGTTAAAATTTGACCCCCTCACGACTTTGAAGTGATTTTGAATGCTTGTGAATAGGTCTTTCCCTGGCGGTTATGCCTTGCCGTATTTTCAGCTGATCTCACTATTGCTATATTGCATTTTAAATGATATAAAAAAATATAGACCTCTAGTTTTTTTATTCGATTTTTGTAGCTACTGTAATTACAAATTCAGCTAAGTATTACAATACACGTCCGTATTTGAAAAAATTAATTTGATGATGAAATCTAAGAAACGAAACGTCGTATTGCAAATTGGTTTATATAAAAAACGAAATTCATGAATTCTAATTTTTGGCGAATATTTTATAAACAACCACTGATATTCTTGATCTGAAAAGAAATTATTTTAGTTTTCCAGAATAGGAAACTTTTGTCCAATTTAATCGACCTTGTAGGTTTCACGGTTTCAGAGATGGCAAGAGTGAGATCGGCTAAAAAACGATCTGTATATTAGCTCCATCTGTACCGTGTATAATTTGCTTGTCAATGGAGTCGAGAAGATTATTGCAGTTCTAGTGTTGGGGCAGTGTTTGTTTTTGGACATGTAATGAAGTTTTAGAACACTTCTCATTAGTTATTATAGTTCACAAAATAAAATTAGTTGCCATTGTGAATTTTGAGCTTTTGAATCTTATGCCTTACATGGTACATCCACATTGTGCCCTAGTTGTCCGGTCATTCCAGGTCGGTTTAGGCCTGTATTTCGGAAAGTTGGCATACCCAGCTGCCGCAACTTGGGTGTCAAAAGTCAAAAAACCGACTTTTTGCACGTTTTTTTGCCAATATCTCGTTTCCACTGGGTTTTATGCTAATTGTATCTATTATCAATATTGTAGAAAATTCAATTCTCCACAACTATTGTTTCAAACATTTTTTCATACGTTGAATTGTTTTTGAGATAAAGGACAGCGCGAGCGCAGATTAAATATTATTTGAAATCAACTGGTTTTCCCGATTGAAATCAGCTCAATTAAGGTTTATAAATTATTACTTAATAAATAATTATAAATAATTTTCATTTTTTATTAACAAATACATTATATTCAAACATTTTTTTCATGAATGAACCGATCTATGAATTCAATAATGCAATTCATTCCTGTATTTCAAAAAGTCGTTAAGGATATACTTCTTCTCTTGAACAAGAATTTTTTTTTAAAAGTTGGCAAAGCAAATGTGAAAACGGAAATATACTCCTCTAAGAGTTTTGAGAAATATTCAAGTTCTTAAAAAAACATTTTGTTCCTTCACGCTGTAAGCGAAGAACATTCGAGAAACTATCTACTTTGTATGAACTTGCCGCAGCATTTGAAGAAGAAAACAGCCCGGTTCAAAGATTATTTGATAATGGAATGCAAACTTTATTAGATGTTTATAATGCTCCAAAGTCTGTATAGATACTTTCGATCCTCTTCCTTATGGACAATATATCAAGCTAACAAAGCTCAATAAACCTGTGCAATTATCAAATATCCCACCAACAAGTGGAGCAGCTCACTAAAATTTTAATCGTGTTTATTACCAAGTTCAAACTTGGTTAGAGTTAGGTCATGATTTGGAACCCCAGGAATGAGGTTTGACAATGCGTAACGGATTTCTAGAACCTATCATGACCATTTTACCACCTGCTCCAGAAAAGTCACTCAATAAGATATTCTGTAACTGCAAAAATGGTTGTGGTTCAAGATGTGGATGCAGGATAGCGGGGTTGCAATGCTCATTAGCTTGTGGCCAGTGTAATGGGCAAGCTTGTCTCAATACTGTACCATATGAGACCGATGTTTACGAAGATAGGTCCTTTGATTCAGAAATCATGGAAGAATTTGAAACAAATTTGGGTGAAGATGACAATGAAGATGATAACGCCCTTGAATTTTTACAGCTGCTAGAAGACGACGACGATGAAGAAGAAAATTGAAATTAAAACTCATTATTCTTTCAATTTGATGATTAACTGAAGTACATTTTATTGAAACAACGATAAAAATAAAATAAAACAAACAATAAAAATTGATTGGCGCTCCGGGGCGACTTCATTGATTCCAGTGGCGCATTTGCTTTTTCAGCTGCAGGAAAACCCGGAAAAACCTGCAGTACCACATCATCTGAAGATCTTGATCTAACAATGTCCTCTCTCTTATAAAACAAAATGTAGGGTGTCTCCAGAGGCTCCAATAAATTCAATGCATCGCCAGAACACTTCGTGACACGACTATCGTCAAACTTAAACCAGTCCGTTTCGTCTTTGACCAAGGCGTAATAATGACCAAATTCAACGCCAGAACCACAGTGAACAATGACTGCATGAATATTATAANACATGAAAGAATTTTCGTCTGAAAAACATGTATTGTATAATAGGTTCGGGTTATTGGTCAATTTTTCGCTGAACACCTCACAAAACTGTCGACGATCTGGATCATCTTCGTTTAATTCCTAAACTAGCCTTATTTTGAAAGGATGGAATATGTAGCCTTTCAAAAGCCGAAAAACACCAGTAGCTGATACACTAGACGCTCTAGATTGTCGATTATCCATATGTACATGTCCTAAAACTGCAACTTCAACGCCGTCATTTCTGACAGGACGGGATACTTCATGTTTTCTGTTGTGAAGAGAACCTGAAGTTCGAAACTTATCCATTATCTGTTTAACGTATTAATAGCTCACGTTGTGGTCTGGATGATTCGTATTATAAATTCTTGCAGAAGCTTTAGCACATTCATTATTTCGATAATAGATTGCAACGATTTCCATTCTTTCAGTAGAGTAAACCATGTGCACAGTGACCAAGGATGACTGAACAATAATTCGCGAAGAAGTAACAGTGGCTAACTATCTACTTTTTGTTCTGCGACAATTAGATTCAACAAAAAGCACCAGTGCAGAAAAAAACTAACAGTGTCGTCCATTTTAAAATGTCTACTACTAATTAAATAAATTCTACAAATCTAGAAGACCTGCGAAAGAGAATTGTTCGGGATTGCCGATATCCGACTCCGGACATCTTCAATAATGTAGGGAACGCTTTCGAAAGTAGACTG